AAGCGAAAGGGCGAAGAACGATTGAAAATTTGCGTAAATATTATTCAAAAAGTGGCTCTGCCTTCCCGTACAGACTTGAGAAAATTGTCATTCTGACTTTTGACTCGGGCTAAGAGCTCAATTTCTCTGCTCATTCTGATGGTGAGGACAACACACTCAAAGAAAGGATACCCTAAGGTTATCGTGAACTGTGCCTCTAAACGGTGCAAAGCGATGTATCTTTTATCTTCTGCAAATGAATGCTTCTCCCTGAAGGAGAAGTTGAAGGCTTTAGGGTATGGGAGCTGCTTTACAAGTGTAAAACGTTACAAACACTGAAATTCCATTAGTCATAAAACGCTATCTAGACGGTGGGGTGTAAGGGAAAGCTAAAAAAATGATTCAACTAACAACAAGACGAGTCAGCAGAATTGCATCTGACAATCGCGTACTTTCAGGAATACGGGTGCCTCGTCGTTCCAGGGTTAGGGCGTGGGGGCGTGTCGATACACCGCCTCACCCTAACCTTAAATTCTCCTAAACCCATCCCCTTCAAAATTGCGGGTCAACGCTACGTGGGAGGCTGAGGTCTAAGTCGTCCAAGTGAAGGGATGCAAAAATACATTATGCATCGCTCACTCGAAAAAAAGTAACGTTACAGCGACGCTATCTCCAGGATCATAGGTTCAGAGTCAAATACCGCATAGGTATAGGTAGCATAGGTTCAGAGGGCCTTGCAAAATCGTTTAAAAAGAAAAGAGAGGTGTTGGGCAACCTCACTGGACGTCAACTGATGGAATGTTGAAAAATCTTGTTTTCAAGGATGAAACATGGCAAAATTCCAGTGTAGTGAATAATTTAGGCGTAGGGGTAAATACACTGCCAGTTTTGCCGGAACGCTCCACTGTTGCTGCCTCTATAGGTTGACACTCTTTTCCTTATCCGATATCTCCAATAAGGCAGCCACAAAAGAGTGCCAGTTTTGAAATATTATCAATTTGTGTTGATATGTTTATGAGCACAACGGCTGGCCCTAACGAATACAGGTCAGGAAAGTGCTTTCCTATGCGCGCCTATTCTAGCCAGTATTCGAGGGCATGGCGCGGCAGGAGATAACACGTGGTTGTTCAACGCACGCATATCATATTTTATTTAATGAGCTCAAGTGTATTCAAAAGGCGTTGCAAGCTTCTCGTACAAAATTCCGAGGAATCAATTTTTCAAATAAATAAAATGCTTCGAGAAGGACATTTCTGACTCGACAACGTTGAAAGGAAACTCGGTATTTTTGAGAAGCAAAAATGCGAAACTTCTCAAACCTTGTTACCCATTTGCAGTGAGTCGTCTTTGTTAGAAAGTATGGGCGCTGAAGCAAAGAAATTTCACGTGTGAATTACATTTCCATGTAATCCCACATAGTTAACTTGCAGGAAGGTGCAGGTAACCCGCGTAAAAAGGTGTGCCCAAAATCACAGGTGTTGGAGTCAAACCTTTAGACAGGTTCGACTCAAAAAAATAAAGTTTTGTAAATAAAAAAATCATTCTAAACTTATTGTTAGAGCAGAACAAAGTTATGGTCTCAAGGAATGAGGTGGACGTCATCCTCGTGCTCAACACACCCCGCCCCCTTGTGATTAGAGAGCAAGTTCCAGAAGATTTAGTGGACCCCTCTTTTGAGCTCATGAACCTGAACGAGGCCAAAAACACGAGTGCAAGCGAACCGTTATGTACTAGGCATCCACATGAAAAAAAAATCTGTGGATTGGGTGGTAAAAATGCGACGGAAGAGCCGATGCGGACGTCTGGGCATGGGGTTATCACCTTCCAAACCTACTCTGAAGAAATGCCTGCAAATAACTTACATGCCCTCCCGTACCTGCCTTACCGCCAAAGCATGGGTATAGGTGGGACACGCCACGCTCGTTGCGTTCACCAAGCGCCCAAACACCCTTCCCATTTACTCCCACTCACCAAGAAAGTTTTGATAATGTGTGGTAAAGATGAAGCTTGCGGTGTCCCATTCTCCGCTGAAATTACTCCGACGATGATAACAATAATCAGCCGTTACCATCAATCAACAGTGTCAATCAATAGTAATCGAAAATCGGCTCAAAAAGAGTTTTAGGGGCCTCAACCAGAAACTACTGAACTTTAGCTTTGTGAAAGATTGCAAGCGGGTAGTTCGAGAATTCTCTCCAGGATAAGTTTTGCGGTGCTAGCGCGGGTATTATCTTTCCACCACCATCCACTCTTCCTACCCAGTGTAAACGCAACTTTTGGATGACCACTGGATCAAGACGGCTACTTACTAGAAACCACAAACATCAAATAGGCAATGTTGGCTATCGGCTCAATGATTGGGTTTCTCCACAAACCCCCAACCAAGGAAATGATTAAGTTCGCCTTTCTCGAGGGGAAAAGTACCGAACTACAAAGGTTTCCAAACAGGGCGAACGGAGATGCTACTGAGATCCACTCGCGCAAATCAATGACCAACAGGGTGATAGGTAGTACAGGTTGGATCACCGAAGTGGATCAGCATCATAGGTCCCTCAAGCGATAGCAGACTGATCAGATCGTCTCTCCGATCGGGTGGGTGCGTCTGTGTGTAAGCAATCGGCAACCGGAGGGGGCCTTGGCGGTGGGAGCCCTTACGGAGCGACGTGGCTGTGAGACGCGACTGGGACTGCGTGACGCGGCTGTGTGACGCGGTTCAGGGGGCGGCCCCTGTCGGCGCCCAGCCACTCCATGGCGCTCACTATGCCACCTATTGTCATTGTAACTTCTCTCCTGGGTTTTGTTCGGGTTCAATTTCATTCGGGGATCCTGTCCCGAGTTGGTAAGGTTCTTGTGGCTGGCTCTAAGGCTCATTTGTAGTCTTTCGCCTATGTGGCTCTCAGGTATGGAGGGGATCTACCCAGCCCTCGTTTCATGGTCGTGCGCCTTCCTCTGAATCTCATGGAGTTCCTATCGTACTGATGGGATTCCTCCTTTGAAAAAAGGCTCACATTCTTCTAGTGGATGTTACAATCTATGATTGAGTGTCTTAGAGTTGTATTCAACAATGTAATCGAGTACAAATGAGTTCGTATAGGCTTTAAGACTCTCTTTGAATAGTCTCCAACCAATGTTCTCTCATTTCCAACACGATATTCATTTCTCTTCTTCATTCTTACGTGGCCGCTTAGAGACTTCTTTGTGAGTGATAAATGGAATTGTTTGTGGTAACACTCTTTGAGCAAAACATCCTCCCTAAAGAAGTTTGTGAAAGTTTCTGAGCTTGGTGCGGGCTTCTATTCATCACCCTCTAACTTCATCTGACTTGTTGCCTTGTCTTGGTATGAATAGTTTTAATAACATAGAGGATCTTCTAGAATAAGTCATTGTTTTTGAATCATCAATTCTTTTGCATAACCCTGCCATCTGTCATGTATTTCTTTGAAAATTGACAATTGGCGGTTTCTCTAAATCATGTCCCTTCATGTGACTTTCCTTGTTTGTTCAGCTGATTGTCCCTATTGAACAGTAGTTTTGCAGCGCGTCTCCTTCTACAGTTTATGTTGTTTTCATGACGACTAGATTATGAGGGTCTTCATGCATTATCACAATCGAAAGCAAAGATAGCTGGCTGGGTACACGTGTTGTTATTCTAAATATTGTTGCCAGCTGTTTTGCATACCATTAAGATATTCTTAGCCTCCGTGCCGATAACCTTCTCGAACAACTAGGATGTGAGGTAGTCATGTATAAGAGATGGAATTTGTAGGTGATACTTGCCTGTTGTGCTTCCATACCTCTTTCTTTTACATCGTGATAATTCATTACTCACATGAAATGTGATTGAGAGTGTAAACCTGTCTGGTTAGCAAAGGGTTAGTGGCAGATACCCTGTTTCCGCTCGTTGACGCCATTTGAAGGGTATGCGTTTCCTTAGAAGCACTAACCAAACAAATTTGATAATAGCCCAGGCTCGGAATCGAATCAATTAATGCTTTGTTTAAATCCAGAAAGTGCAGAATGACGTTGGTCATATGGTAAAAGGAATGAGAACAACAAGGAAGGGCTCGGGAGCGTTACCCAGAATGAGGGTCTGTTAGGTCTGCTAATCGATCAGTTTCGTATCTTTCTTCGATAACAGCACAAGTTTCCTCAGATGAATACTTGCTTTGGCACTGTCGTTTGGCTTGTTAATGGTTAGACTTTTTGTAATTTGAGCTGGCAAGTTCTTTCTTGACAAGCTATAGTGAGACTGTGATTCCAGGGAACGAGAAGTTTGTGGCGGGTAACCTAAGGTGGTGAAAAGTGTTCTGGAAGAATGGGAGAAATAGTGCACATCAATTGGACAACAACTGTCATTGATAAGACTTTTTGCGCTATTTCGAATTCCAAAGCCCGATATGAATTGATCAGGAGTGAAGGGTTTGTTTGAAAAAAAAAGAGGTGCAATTCATTCTGCCAAATAAAAAAGCATAAGATTTTGTCGGAGAGCTTCAAGACTTGACTGTTACAGATCCAACACTCTCTGTATACTTTCAGAACTTTAACAACTATGCTGCCCTCAATAGTGTTGGTGCAGGGAAGACGGAGGTGGTATAAAAAAAAGAGCATTCGGAATATGGGAGTGGTTGTGAAAATGTTGAGGCATAATAAGAAGGAGTCAGTTTCTTAACCCGAAGCTTCCACACAGTTTGGGAGGGTCGGATAGATTGCTTCCGGTAACATTATAACACAACTTTGCAAATGCTTTTTAGTGGACAGGGACACATGCTGGCTCTCGTTAATGCAATGTGCTAGGAAAAGATTCCGCGCCTCAGAAATAGGCACGTTTTGAGAAGTTCCGCTCTCCACCAGGGATGAATTTTCGACATGTATGTGAGTACGCCGTGAACGTGGCATTCGAACGGCGACTGTGTAGTGAAAATGTGATGGGTTCTTCGATTTTTGTAGTGTGTTGTCAACAATATCCCTATGACGAAATTTCCCACCTACTGTCGAAAAGCCGCACTTGGTCGGTTGTGCTCATGGTACAAGGTAACAAGTAACAGTATGATTTGATCCTGCTGCTCATCATTTTTCACTGTGGTTTCTAAAGTAGTTACTGTTTTGGGCTCGTCATTTTGACCATTCTTTCTGGAATGACAGTTTCCTACTGTATGATTATCCTTATGCATTTCTCGCCAATCACCGCGAAGTGTAGTTCATTGGCAACTCAATTCTTGCAGAAAATGGTTGACCGCAAAGCTGTGATCAAGAATGCCGACATGTCCGAGGACATGCAACAAGATGCAATCGACTGTGCAACGCAAGCGTTGGAGAAGTCAGTTTTTATATTTTTCTTGTTTATGATAAATTAAACTTGACATGAAGCTGTGCCAGGTGAAGTAAAGAATCGGATTGTGGTAGACGGTAATTGGCTTACGAACTTACTGACACCTCTACACAATCATCTTGTCAGGGGGTGTAGATGCGTCTATTCTAAAAAAAAAACACGCCCTTATGGCACAATTATTGCACGATACGATGAATGCCTTCTCGAAATTTTCATAAATTGACCTTCGTGATAGGAACTGTGAGGGTTGATAACCCATTAATTTGTGATCGTTTATCCGCTATTTGATGCCTATAAGTGGGCGTTACAGACTATAAATAAGGAAGACAGTTTGGAATCAGCAGATTGCTTAATAAAACAATCAGCCATTTTTATACTGTTAACAATAGATTGGTCAATAATGTACTTCACTCAGTTTGTAACAAGTCATTATCGACGAAGTCACCCTCTTAGACCTTAAATCTTTAAACATTAGGACGTTGTTTGTGTCGTAAGCGGCGATGGGCTCCTCTACGTCGGGTGTCATCACACATCGTGCGCTGTAATGAAGTGGACAGCGTTTCAGCTCCCGCGTCCAGGTTCCATCAAATGGGGATTTTTCAATGTAATGTTCATAGCTTGTCCTAAATAACTATCTGTGGTGTTGCTGCTCGGCGACTTCTTATGAACTATTTAATTGCAAACACCCGGTCTCGGAAAAGTTATGACGGTTAATGCACGATTTGTTCCTTTTTTCGTTGACGTCTGACACCAATGCGGCGCATATTTCATAGACCGTCTTCCTCGACTCTTTTGGTATGATTTTGACCTTTTGATAGGAATGTGCGCATCTAAGTGCATTAGCAGGTGTAGAGATGGTGGTTTTTCTGATTTTCTGCAATGATTTGAAGTTACGAAGTAGGACGTGTTTTGAAGGGCAGGAACAGGTTTTTTGGAATCAGGAGCCAATGTGAACAGACGGGTGATTTTTATTTGGAGATGTCGAGAAAAAGTTCTTGTCTTGACATGATTTATTGACTGGTTCGTAAATTTTGGCACGCCTGGAATAGAATAATCAAACTTTACAAAAGTTGGAAAGTCGAGTCGAGACCCTTTAACTATGCATAGTTGCTCAACACTACTGCTCAGACTAGTCACATCTGGCCAAGTCTGGTCCATTTCTTGTTGAAATTATCTGTAGGAGAGGTCACTGTTGAATTAAATACGCTAATAGCAATTAAAGAGTCACGCTACTCGTTTAAATCTGACAGTTGTCTCTGTTCACTTGGGGATTAGCGAAGTTGACTGTTTCTGTGAAAATATTAGATAAGAAACGATCGGCTGTATCCTCCAAAGTGGCGTAGTGTCATTTGTTGCTAGTTCTGTGTTTCTAGGACGCTGAACGCATTAGACGAACGGCAGAACGTTCGACGTTGCGCTACATTCAAACCCTGAATTTGAATAGAATTTTTTACTTTGCAATGGTTTTCGTTGCTATGTGATCTCCAGGGAGAAGATTTAAAATCAATCTATGGCCCTTATATATTGCCTGTCTCTAAGTACGACAAACAATGGGAACCTAGCTGACGTTACCATGGTGCTCATCCTATGTGGCATTAAGCGCAGGATTTTCCATCAAAGAAGAAAATTGATCATCTACGTATTCCTGAATTTAAGGTACAATATCGAAAAGGATATTGCCGCCTACATCAANTGTCATTTGTTGCTAGTTCTGTGTTTCTAGGACGCTGAACGCATTAGACGAACGGCAGAACGTTCGTCGTTGCGCTACATTCAAACCCTGAATTTGAATAGAATTTTTTACTTTGCAATGGTTTTCGTTGCTATGTGATCTCCAGGGCGAAGATTTAAAAGCAATCTATGGACCTTATATATTGCCTGTCCCTAAGTAAGACAAACAATGGGAACCTAGCTGACGTTACCATGGCGCTCATCCTATGTGGCATTAAGCGCAGGATTTTTCATCAAAGAAGAAAATTGTTCATCTACGTATTCCTGAATTTAAGGTACAATATCGAAAAGGATATTGCCGCCTACATCAAGAAGGAGTTTGATAAGAAGTACAACCCTACGTGGCATTGCATCGTGGGAAGGAACTTTGGCTCGTGAGTTTATGTTGTGGTTTAACAATTTGTTCCACTGTTTAATACGTTATATGTTTAGATACGTGACGCATGAGACGAAGCACTTCATTTACTTTTATTTGGGGCAGGTAGCCATTCTTCTATTCAAATCAGGATGAATTACAAATTTGAACGTGATCTATTGAAGTCGCCTATTTGTGTGAATAATTATTGTGTTTTATAAATGCGTCTTGTTCCATTACTTTGTTTCGAAGAGATAAATTTGTACAAAAGGAAGGATTAGCGTCAGCAAATGGTTAGCGCTATAATAAGGAACTGTTAATGATGGTTTCTCATTTCACTTGAACATGAAACTGATGTTTTATCGAAAGATTGAACTTTGATAAAGAAATCAGTCAATTAAAAATAAATAAATGAATAAAAGGTGTGATTATTTGAACAGTATTGAAAAGATTGCTTGAAAGTTCAGCTCCTGCTTGCAGCTGTGGTGATGGCAATGGGGGACTTCTCTTTCATCCAAAGGTTGAACTGTATGAAATGTTGCTAATAAGGGCTTTACATGCTTTGAAAAGAATATTTGGTGAACTTTCAATGCGAAAGTGATTCTGTTCCATTGGTCTTACGAGTATGTAGGTTCCATGCAGAGTAGCAAAGATAACTGGATAGAGTTCGGCCCCGGAGAGATCATAACGTTTCCGTACTATTCAGTACTTTACCATGTTTCAGATCACATATGTATAGACAGCAATAGAGATGGATAGGTTAAATGACGTAAAACGGAAATAAAATTTGGTACGACGTTTTAGCCGAGCACTATTTTGTTGGCAAGCCAACAGTACAACTTTGTACAATACGTTTCTAACAACTAAGGCTGGCCGTGGTGTACATTCGGTACGCGTACAAAATCGCAGTTTCATACTTTGTGGGAGAAGTTTCATTTCTTGAATTCAAAGCGAGCAAGCGACGTGGAGTTGAAACCCAGATTCGCTTGGCACTTGCGACTTTTTCCTTTTTTTTCATCACATCCAAAGTTACATTAATCCGAAGACGGTCACCTCAATAGTGATGGTGAAGATTTGAAGTTCTTCAGTGTTCCTGAATTTCTAGGCAATTTTGCGGGATAGTGGTCTGAGTGAAAGCCGACAAATTCCTACTCGCGGGCACTAATTATAAGAGTTATGCACCCTATCCCAATACTCTTAGAGGTTATAATGCGATTGAAAACTCATGCGACATCCATGGCGGATTATAAAAGTGGATAAAAGGAGATTTGTCGCTGTGACGCAACGTCGGTAACGCCCAAATCCTTTAGGGCAACTAAGCACTTCAGTTCACTGACGACATAGGAACAAATCTGTCCGCAAGAAGTTGAAAGGACACAATTCTGGACTATTCCTTCCCTGTACTTCGGTATATGATTAGAATTCTGATGCACGCATACCTTGAGTAGGGCAGATCTTTTGGGGATATCATTCCCCTTAACTTCTCCTTACAGATCTGGTACTATGCCATCGACGTCAGTGTACTGAAGATCTTACATAGTTGCCCGAGAGGATTTGGGCGGTATTGACGTTGCGAATTGTGAAGAAGTAGATGGAAGTGAAAGCATTCAGGAAGGAATCCATGAAAGAAGGAAAGAATTGAGTACCTGGTTCCCCCCGCTCAGCTCGAAATCGCTCTGGGAAGGTGACAACCGAAAATACTCTTCCTTATCTTCGTCTATTCATATCTATTACAATCAGTTTGGTACGATGTCCTCACCACATTCTTGATCCTATACACCTTGACCTTCAGGGTGAAGACGGTAGCGCCTGTTAAAGGCGCTGTCAACGCCGAGCGTAAGGTACCTTATAATTAGTACGATAACTGGTAATTATGCCAGACCGATTACAAGGCCTCATTTTTTGAGTCGACTGTCAACTAAAAAAGGGATCCATCAGGGGGTCGCAATGATCAGTGTTCCTGCCAGTCACTCACAGTTAATAGTGCTTTTAGTAAGCCCAGCGATATAGCAGCTGACGTATGATAAAGGACTAGTCTGTTGACGCCAATCGATTCATTTAAGGATGCGTCCCCGCATTCAATTCCCATTCAGAATTGTAGTAAGGTTTGAAAGGCGTATGTGGCCTATGCATGTACTGCAGTGTTCAGCCGATGACAAATCAGCGCTTTTGTGCTCCAAGACGAGCCTGGTTAAAGTCAATCGACCTCGAAGAGGTAGAGGGTGCGCTTGTATAAAACAAAACCCATGATGGATTCGATCCTGATATCGTGTGAGCGTAACTGACACTGCGTCATTTGCACTATACCATCAAGGAAAACTAAAAATAAAATGGCTTACGCAAAAAATTTAATTAGACACCTATGAATGGTACCTACTTTTTGTAGTCTAGAACTTTCCTTCACAAAAGTCCACGCTGTTCCACTCCGGCTAGCTTAGCAGTAAGAAAGGGTAAGTTTGACTAGAGTGGTTTAAAGCTTCAGAGCTGTTATGTGAGACGATTATGACGCATGAGCAATGGATACAAAAGCCTACTACACCTTCTGTCAACAACACTATTTGCATGCTTTCCTTTATGTGAGTTGAGTCTGAAGGATCATCGTCTGGCTTAACATGGCAATACAGAGAACTGCTATCAATTCCCCAGAAACTCGTCACGTTGGGGACACCCAGCTGTACTGTACGGTACGATCTCAAGGGCTAAAGGCAAATTCTAGGCAATGTTCAAGTTGGCAGAGCTATCCTGATTGTCGAGATCGCGTTCAAGTGTTCTGTTCGGACCAGCTGCGTACACTTGATCAAAAGTAGCCTCTTCATTTCTCACACGGCAACACTGCCTTATTTCCTAACAGCTTAATCAGTTCTTTCTACTCAAACACGGTTTGAGTAGAGAAGAAGAGTCATTGTGTATTTATACTTACCGACATGGGCGTCAGCGATTGACCAACGACATTCCACAGGGTGTGGTGCGTTACGAACGAAATGGTCGCGTCGAGGTGAGAGGGGCGTCGAGCGCGAAGGAATGTAGCAGAATGCAGCAGTAGATAAGAAATACAAGAACAGAAGTACTAATAGTAGAATTATGCATAAAATAATGATCGCATATCGATTGAGCTGTATGAAGGACGCTAGAGCTGTAATAACGGCGAAGGAGTGGTCCGCGACAGCCGCGTGCGGCGAATCGATTACCCGAAATCGTTCCTAACGCCCGTCTCCCACATTCCACATTCTGTGTCCCTGCCAAAAATAATGCCAACAAACTATTTCATCACACTCAACCCCAATCCTGATTGTAATAATCCACATCCTGTTTCAATTATAAAGTACACATTTCAATGAGCTGATCCCACTCTTTGCACATCTGCTAGCCTCAAGCTTCCCTTTTTTGTTAACGTTTAAATATTGCGAAACGCATCACAGTTACACATTAGAAATCACAAAAAATCAAAAGGAAATGGTAAAATCTTCGAATAGAACCTCGAGGTTTGTACAGTGCCCGGATTGAAATGTTCCGCTGAGAGCACCTAATCCAGGTACAAAATTGGCTTGGCGCAAAAATGCAAGTTTTGAGACCATTCGAAGGTTTCCATTCAAAACCCTAGTCAATTTCTGTTTTATAATCCTTCTCAGAATATCATCTCACTGCAAACCGAGCCAAAAATCGTCCTAAAGGAGTTTTGTCCTGAAGAAGTCTGTCAAGTGCAGTGTTTAGCTAGCTCGTTGGTAAAAATCCTTTCATTAGAATCACGTGGACCATACCTAGCTGCTCAAAAGGCATCTTACCTAAAAGTGCTTTTCTTCTCCCATCACAGTGAATTGGACATTCGCTTTGATGCCACCTAAGAACCTCAAAAAAAGCATGCATAAAGTTGTCAACTTCACATTTCCACTTTCACAAGCATTACCATAGAACCGTTCAAAAACCTTTGTGTGAGCAGGATGGACATCCACTTTCTTTGACTTTCCGCTCTCCTCTTCCTACCCTCAAGTTTAATACAACGTATGTGTTTCCCAAAGAAATTGAGACAAGGATTTCTGGTCACAAACAGTCCAGAACTTCAATAGCGTGGCCTTAGTGATTAGTAATATGCAGTATTCTGCTTTACTTAATAATCTTCAAATTCATACTATTCATGAACATTTAGGACCCAGATCTGAAGGACCTGTGCTTCCATGCCGTTTCCTTGCTTTTAGTAGAACTTTTGGTGCCCATATTTTCGATTTCGTACAAAGCTAGTTTGTAAAGGAAACTACTCGGGAGACGGGCGTTAGGAACGATTTTAGGTAATCGATTCGCCGCACGCGGCTGCCGCGGACCACTCATTCGCCGTTATTACAGCTCTAGCGTTCTTCATACAGCTCAATCGATATGCGATCATTATTTTATGCATAATTCTACTATTAGTACTTTTGTTCTTGTACTCCTTACCCACTGCTGCATCCTGCTACATTCCTTCGCGCGCGACGCCCCTATCACCGCGACGCGACCATTTCGTTCCTAATGCACCACACCCAAACTACTCTTAGTGCTTACCTTAGTAACCAAAGTGGTGCATGTCCGCCACAGTATAACAGCCTTTTATTATCTTGCAGTTGTCCCTCCTCTCACAACAAGCTTATGTCCTGACTGACCCACCTTCTCACTTAGAATTGAACATGCATAAAAATCGATCAAAATTAAAGCATCACGATAGAATCGTTCCCGAGATTTACTTTCATTATGAACCTATTTCCCTTGAGGATAATACATGGGACATTTCTAGTCCGAAAAACGGTCTAGACTATTCGTAATAAGAGCTATGAAACCGGTTCGGCCGTACACGAACACACTTAAAAGTGGCCGTAATATGATTTGCTAAGGCTGACCTTTCACAACGGAGCGTTAGGACGCCAACGAATAGTGTGCCTATGTGAAAGACGCTCGGACAGTTACAAACAACGGTGCATTCACAGGGTGCGCTTCGTGGCGCGGACCGTCGAAACTAGGTCACGCCGCAGCCGTCGCATGCGGCGGGTCAGCCCGCGACACTTGAAAGATGTCGCAGTTGTTTTTGGGGCATATGATTTGCGCTTGGTCCACGGCAGTCAGCCAAAGAGAAGATAACACGGCAAAAGCAAATCGTTCGCTCCACTGAGACTTGGTGGTACTGTAATGTCATCTTGAGGTGCGCCGCTCGCGAAGTGGGCGGGGTGACCTACTTTCGACGGACGCGCACAGGACGTTCTCCGCATTCATACACGGAACCATCTATTATACATCTCCTGTTTCTTTTTCAAAGATCGGTCTTTTGCTATGAACTACGCCTTCAGCACTATGAATGCGCCAGGGGGAAAGTATTTTTGCCTCTTTTGATCTCTGTAGCCAGCTCTTTGCGCTCTTGCGGTAACTGACACCTCGTCCAAACGCCCGTTCTTGTCGCTACTGATTTCATAATCTCGCACAACCCTTTTTTTATTACTTTTTTGTAGTCTGACGTTACTTGGAATCCGCCGATTTTCGTAATTTTTCGCCTTCTTTGCCCTATTCTGCACCATACCCTCCCTTAGTTCACTCCAACTAAGTACCTCAGAATTGTTGCAAACTGTGTTTTTAAGGCATGTGAGCACATTTAGTAGAGCACAGTTTGCTGTTAATAATATGTTGGCTAGAAAGTTTGCAGTACTTTGCTATATCAGACGGAATTACGCGATCAAAAACCATTTGCACAAGCCCATGGCTGCTTGGTTTTTGAACTTGTTCTTCTTTGTTTTCAGCCCTTCGAAGGGGCGGACCGACCGTCAGCCTCCCTCATCCCCCTAGCACTGCCTCGGCACGCCGGCACGTCGGCACGCACGCCGGCGGACTATGAAAGCATTCTATAACATTAATAGTACTGTTTTTCATGCGTANTATCGAGCTGCGCATAAAATAATACTCTTATTCAACGAAGAACACGAAAAATAAGCTGTCATACACTCTGGATCAAGTAAGCAAGTAAGTCTACTGTTCCCCCTCACATGACTCGAACGAGAGCGCCTAATTGTGCTTCTATCCAAAATGCAGTAGCAGTAGCACGTAGTAAAGGACAATATATTCAGTTACCATTGGAATCGTCTGATACCGTAATACTGAAGTGTGTTCATACCAGTATCTAAATACCAGTATCCACCGACAACCAACCAGTCAGAGTCCTCAGTTCTATTATATACATGCAAAAGACAAAAGCTACAGTCAACCGGCGTTAATCAATCTCTTCTGAGGGATGCACCCCCACATTCGACTCCATTCAGAATCGTAGTGGCGCGTTGAATGCATGTGAGGCTTATGCAGTGACCTGCGGTGGCCAGTGGAGTACAAGTCTTTAGTACAGTGCTTTATATTCCCAGACAGATTAAACGAGTCCGGAGAATGAGAAGGCTTGGTTAGCTTTAGCGGACATCGATCCGGGAACCGATCCTTGAACCATTCGTGTGCAACTGTGCGCCGCTTGCTACTACACCACCTCCATGTATGCGATACATATATATACAGGTGTATGTATATACATAAAGTCTAAAAGCCTTGGGACCTTAATCGACTCCGTCTGAGGCCACCCATTCGACTTCCATTCCTTTCGGAATCGTAGTGGCGCAGTGAGTGTGAGCGTGGCCCATACAATGATTTACGATGGCTAGCCGCTGTACAAGTCAGTGCTTTTTTCCTGCCAGACGGGTCTTGCACCAGCTGACCGAACCTCGGCTGACCTAAGCGGATAACGATCCGGGATCCTAACCATGCGTGTGAACTGCGCCACTTGCCATAACACCACCTAATCCCATGTATATACATGCATCTTACAATCCATGAAGTTGCTCTACTGCAGAACAGAACCTGCTAGCGACTACTTATTAAACTATGCCGCAAATTAATCGCCATCACTCGAGCAATACGAGAAAGGCGACGTATCTAGAAAACGATGCTGTACCAATTCTGTTCAAGCGCTGTCGATGACGTCACAACCTTTCGTACTTATCAATGTCCGCTATCAGTAGCATCCTTTTTACAACCTCTATTGATGAAGTTTTTTTCATATCACCTTTATCAGAGCCATAAAAAATTTTGCACCTAAGCGGATATACCAGCAAATACACAGACCGACAGATCCCCCGCCAATTTTTTGCTTAACATAAAGTAGGACGACCGTCCGCACGTTCCGAAATACTAGTTTGGTATCTACAAAAATTTAACAATTATCTGGATTTTGATTCGATGTTTTGTTAACAGCTGTTTTATGGCCGCAGTACGCGATCCGGAAGCCTCAAAAGGGAGGCGTTTTGCTGGCAAAACTCCGAATTCGAACGAGACTCGAACCCGTCTTTATGCTTTCCGGGCACACGGCGAGGTATAAAGAGCACAGAGTTTTGCCCACAAATCGCAATCCTTGAGAGATCTGGATTACTCCTGCGATTCTCTGGGAAATCTTGAGGTAACGGATATGCCATGTATATACGGTAGTAGTCGTCTTACGTAGAAATCACATGGAACCTTCTATAAAATCAAGGGAGAAATCTGTACTGCAAAATTGCTGGCAGAAACTCTCCGCTTAGATACTTCTGCTGGGATGAAACTTATCATCGCCCCTGTTACCTCGACTGCTACAGTGTCTTAACTGACCATAACACAGTGACGGCACATACACCATCAAAGAATTGCCGAAAGGCAAGAACAGAACCCCTGCCTTGCTTCAGAGACTTACCACCATCCCTGCTCCACGATCACGCTCTGATTGGAGTGAACACAATATGCACTCGATACTGGAGACCAGGGCAATCATACAGGCCCCATATAACCCTGACATCACCTATTATACATACCCAATGCAAAAGTTCTTGAAAAGAAAGCAGTTAAAAGGTTCGGTCAATCTCTAGGCTGTAAATGAGGGTTGGATTGAGACCCAACCCTTCCACCTCAGGAAAACGTTACCCAACGCTGAGGAGGGGGCAGTGCATGCCAAGAGAACTACACAGTTGGCTAAACAGATGGTAGTTTTTGAAAATGAGAAAAATTGAAAACGTCATATTTAAAGTCATTCTAATTACTAGAGAAGAAAACTCAGTCAAAACAAGGATTCAAAACCGATGCCTGTGAATGAAAGTAGCTGGTTTTTTGGAAAAAAATCCCATGTCATTGAAGGTAGCATCAAAAATGGCTAGGCATTAATGGCTAGTGCAACCTCATGGGAAGTTGTACAGAGCTTCACCTCACGCTTTGGACCCTAATGGGGACTCGTTTTTGCACTGTGGGACTTGCACTGCCTATGGCTGACTGTTCAATTAAAGCCTAATACTTCCCAATACACAATGCCCTGAAGATCTAAAAACAGGAAGAGTTGGTACGATTTGAATCGCACGATCCAATCTCTCTTGTACGAAGCTGAAAGAAAACAGCTGATTTCATCTGCTACTCTCACTTTGTACGCGATGACCGGTCCAATGTAAAGGTAGATGACTCTGCCTCTCCCTCCTGCGCAAAGTTAATTTGTTAGGTACAATGATATCCGGACGAAGGTGATATAGTTGTAAGTGGCGCACCATCACGCACGCATGACACATGTTCGAACCCCGAATGAATATCCATCTAGACCAATCAAGCCTTCCAACACTCCACGGTTTCGATTAATTGGAACCAGACTCGTCTGGGAGGAGAAAAGCACTGACTTGTATATCGGCTGGCCACCGCAAGTTACTGTATGGGCCACATACGCATTCAATACGCCACTATGATTCTGATTAGAAGTCGAATGCGGTTGCTCACCCCTCAGACGGTATTGTTCGACCCCTAAAGATTCATCCGATGTTAATATCTGTCGTCGCGTCGCGCACAAATCGTCGCGTCGCGGAAAGAGGGGCGCCGCGTGCGAAGTAATACAGCAGAATGCAGCATCAGGCAAGAGATACAGGAACAAAGGAACTAATCGTAGAATTTGCCCAAAATAATGATTGCATATCGACTGAGCTGTATGAAGATCGCTAGAGCTGTAATAACGGCGAAGGAATGGTGCGCGACATCTTTTCCACAAAACCGTTCCTACTGCCCGTCTCCCCTCAGTCAGGATTGATCAACGCCCATAGAACTTATCCCTACCCTTGTGATCATGTCGTAGTGCCCTCTCGAGCGTATTGACATTTCTTCACAAAAAAAAGCCATTCAAAATGACCCTCCCCTCCCCTCCCCTCCCTGTAATCACAACTTGCTAAGAGAAAATAAAACCACTTCCCGAAATTAAAAACAATGCACCCAATCCTAGCGCTTATTTCTTGGAAGTTTTGTAATAACAACAGAGATGTTCCACCAGCCTTTATTACATTCGGCTTTACAACATACATGTGGATGGAATGATATAACAAAATACAACAACTAAGAGTGAGTGCAACAAATCCGCACCAGAAAGTGCCTTTTACAAATAGGTGAGGGGATAGATTTGGAAAGAAATTTCAAAAACGATCACATAACGTTGACAACACGTCCACAAATAAATACGTTGCGACCGTATTACATCCAGATCGATAACAATCATTACTTGATGACAATTAACGACGCATTCTTTTCTCAGGTGGATAGTCACCAGGCCCTCCTGGGCCTCCAACGTAAGGAGCACCAGGTGCTGGGCCACCAGGTCCTCCAGGCGCGCCATACGGTCCAGGTCCCGATCCCGGTCCTGCAAAACAGGTTGTAAACTAGTGCAACTACAAAACTATATTTCGTGATGTCATGCCAAGTGAAGACGATTTAGTGCAGGCAGGACTTACTCGGCTGACCTGGTTGGTCATTTTTGAAGATCTGCAAAAGACGTTGGACTCCTTCCAGCATGTTATTTGTCTGAGGTTGGCGCTGACTTCCAGGTTCTGTAGAGAACGATGATGCTTTTCAAAGAGAAATAAAAAGTTTATGAATTACCCCTCATTCCTCTAGGTGTTCCAGGCCCACCTGGTCCTCCAGGACCCCCAGGTCCTCCTTTTCCTTGCGACGCTCCACCTGGCCCTGGCGGCCCACCTGGTCCTCCAGGACCTCCTGGTCCAGTTGGCCCTCCTTGAGGATATGGCTGGTATCCGCCCATTGGTGGACCGAATCCTGAAAATAGAATCAATTCCAAAGAATTCTATAACATATAACAAGAAATAACAGACAATAAGCCAAAAAATCGCTACTAACCTGGCTGGCCATACTGTGGCGGACCCATCATTCCTGGCCCATGTCCCGGTGGCCCACCGGGGCCACCAGCACCAGCTCTCATGCCGAGACGTTCACGACGAGCAGCTTCGAGCCTCTCGAGCTCTTGCTGCCGACGTTGTAGATCTAAACGACCAACAATGAGAAAACAAACAGATGAAGATTTTAAAATAAGTTGATATACAGCGTCTCCCACTCCCACGAAAAGCCGTTCGCTGTGTCCATAGTTGGCGACGAGAAAGAAGCCATTGCAAAATTATTTTACAGCTTTTGATAGTGGACACCGCTTCGGCAGGTGACGGCTTGAGTTCCAACGAATTGATGACGGTATCTATTCTCAAACTCAAATCACCTTGCGCGCTTATTGATGGCTAACTCATCGTCAATTATGAACAAAGCCGCCAAACAAGTCCTTTCCAAACAATAGCGAGGTTTCTCTACCATAGAACCGAGCTCGCTGTATGTACCCACAACAAAAACCGAAGAAAAGAATGTGTCGAAAAGCAGCCGAAATCAAGAGCATAGGAGATTATAATGAAAGCGATTCATTGTGGAAAAATGTATAAAAATAGCGCCTAGATTTGTCAGGTGACATGGTCTCAATGTCTCTTTGCAGATGAATTGACTAAAGTACAAAGGAGTTAGCAAATAACTAGTTTCTTTGTGTAGTTTTTCTGAATAATGAATCCTCCACTAGCCTCAGTATACTCGGATATGAAATGTTTCCAAATCTTCACTCGAAAAAAAGATGAGCAGATTCACAGCTTCTCTGCAGTGATGCCAATAATTATTCGCACCTCTACCCCTTCAGATCATCATCTCAGCGCGTCACATTCTCGAAATCACAACCAAGACCATGCAGACCAATTAAGCAAACTCATCTATTGCCAAAAAAATCAGAATTTTAGGGACAAATCTCATTTAATTGCGCGAAAGTCGTTTTTCAACTGCGTAAAAATCTAGATTGCTGAACACTAGACGCAAGAGCATCGGAAATGTTACTAAGAATAAACAAGTTCGCTTTTCCCGTTAATGTTAAGAGCACCCAGTCGCCCAGTGTACCTCTGCTCTTTGAAGTACTATTGTTCGAAGTGACCCTCCTAAAGAATAAAAGCTAACAAAATTAGCTACTCTGTCTTGGCCGATGTGAAAATAGTGATACTGAAAACTAGTTTCACCAATCTCCAAGTCAACTTTTCAATCTCACGGAAAGAGAAGTAAAGGTGCGAATGAATATCTCTACTTGGTGAATAGTTACTTTCTTCCGGCATCGCAGTACATAGTCGCTGCGATTTTCGCTGCGTCCATATAGAATTGGGTGAAAGTACCCATGCCAGCACCGAAACACTGGTGCCAGACAGGTCACACACAACCAACACTAAAAACACCACCCACCTTACATAATGAACTTTGGTGTTCCACAAGGTTCCCAACTTTTCCAAGAAAGATAATTCGTTCTTCACTTCCCGCAAGCACTGCATTAAAGTATACATAATCACCATTTTGAGTCCTTGCCTATGTAGACACTGCAACTTAGAAGTTCGAGCCCCACTCCCTTTTCGAAGCCTCTTATACGCAAGTTAACAGAAGCTGTCTCCTCCGATTCACGGTGCCTCTTTTGCTGATTGTGGTAAGCTACAATCCGATCAGAAGCTACAAATCTGCCGTACTGTTTCCGATGCATTTCTTCAAACAACACTGAGGAGAGTTTATAACTTATGGAAGGTTATTATCGATCAACAAATGTAGTAATTGGCGCTACCCAACCGCTCTACCCCGCAAGATCCTATTAAGAGGAATAACTTGAAGTGAGCATCGGCTGCGACTCATGACTCCAGGAAGAGAATACACAATTCATGCGCACCGGCAGTTCTCCGACGCTTGTCATGTGCACGTCCCCTGCAACTGCGTAACCGCACTGCCTCACTACCCGCTTCTCTCCCTTCCCAGAGGGCTTATCGATGTGTCTTATATCAGCAGCATGGAAAAATAGACGGTCTTATAATAGCGGTCAGAACAAAGAAATGTAAAATAAAAATAGTTAAGAAACTTGAGGAGCACCGAAGTTCGTCCTACCTTTGAAAGTAAGCCTCTCCACAAATTCAGTATCTTGCAAACATTGAAAAAACACTCAACACCACTAGATAGAAAAGAATGGTTTGTCACCTACGAGGCTTCGTATAGACTCGAAAGAACTACTGCATGCCACGATGCTGTATCACAAGAAAAGTTTCAAATAACCGCGCATTTTCATCTCTTTCAAGCTGATTGCCCTGACCGAAAAAAAGAATCAACAGGATTGATCGAGATGTGCAGGACAGAACATTATTTCGACCGATATCACATGAGCATGCTTTTTAAATTATATAACTACTTCAGATAAGACCGCAAATAGTGATTAAACCGCTGAAAGCAAATCAGCGTAGGAGCAGCATAATGTACCATTTAAATTTAGAGCATATAATGATTGCCCACTGTTCGCATATTTTTAACCTCGTAAAAAGAAACAATTGGCCTATCATGGATGAAACTTAAATTCACTAACCCTCTCGAAGCATTTGAGCTTGGTAGTCCTGATAAGCTAGCTCCATGTCAGCTTCGAGTCGACGACGTGCCTCTCTCAGCTCATCTTCCAGCTGTGCTCTACGCTGTTTCTCGATTTCATACAGCTCCTTCCACTTCATACCGTACACAAATTCGAAAGTGTTACGAGCGGGAAAACGAGGACCAAATTCACGCTCCCTGGATAAGTCCATTAAATGTCCAGTCTCTACCTATCACTTGCACATCTCAGAGCACATATTCTTAGTCTGAGTCCACTACAATCAAACACAATGTGCAAGTGAATATCCGATTTTTTTTTCGAGTCAGCAAAGCAGTAACTAGGATGACTACATCCTTTAGACATAAATCATTGAAATCTACTTGTCCAATCAGTATCCGGTCAAACATGAGCTCGAGGTATACAATAATAACGCATGCCAGGTTCAGGTTCTCAACATTTCGAATAGAGACACCGAAATAATAGGGTACAGGAAGCCCATGCGCAAACAACCTGAACCCTTATCCTCCGTTTAATTTGATTTAGCTCTAGTGGCTAGCTCACACTTCCATGTGACCAAAAGAAAAATCCTCACGGGCCGAAGCTGGGCGACCGTTGGGAGATCCCGGCACAAGTAGCGATTAGTTTGATGTCCATTAGAATGTATGATGATATGATTTGTATTAGATCCATAAAACGCTGCAAAAAGTGGTCACGGCCGTGAACGACCTGGACAAGCAGGACCTACTTCCGTGGAACGATGGTCTTTGTATCTGTATATACCCGACATAGCGGCTGTGGTTTCCCTATAATTTTTACAATAAATCCAACTCCAGAGTCCGCTACACCGTTTCGCTATGAAACACCACAAGCAATCTGTGGAAGATATGCAAGGGTATCCCCAGATGTTCCGGGATCTAGCGACCACCTTTGTCGGTACAGGATCTGTACAAGGAAAAATTGTGATCCTCACTTTGCAACTCTCTTGATCAACCCAGGACGTTGCCCTGAGGCGATGTCGACTCCTTCATCAGCTTTGAAGACTGGATGGCCAGTTTTCCATTCATAATGCATGGCTTACAAAATCTGCACTACTTTGGAAGCGAAGTCTCTCGCAGTGAAGGCACGAGGCGTAAGACGAGCTTGACACGCTAAACTTCTACACCGGAATCAACGTCTTTTGAAGCATTTCACAGCCAGTTTGAGTGCCAAAGGAGAAACCGATGGGAATGATGAATGCGTCATATACACAGGTGAACACTATCAAGTGTGAACATCTCTTGTATTTTTCCAAACGCCCCTATTGAAAACCTGAAAACCCATTCGCTAGAACTTTGGCACACATGAAGAGAATAAAGCGCATTAACCAATAAACAAGGCGTTCAAAAAAAGAAAAACGTCCCTTGCAGATATTTATACATATCCACCGTCGTTTCCAAAAACTTGAATTGAAGACATGGCTCTCCACAACATTAACCAGGCCCTTCAGCCAATCTGATTCGAAAGTTGGCATAATTTACTCCTGACTACATACTGGTTCCAAATGCCGGTTTCCCTCCAGAACATCAACTTTTAATTCTCCAAAAACTGCTGTTACACTAAACATAATCCTACCATAACTCTTTTGACCGAACACTGAAAGGACAAGAGAACAATAACAAGAACACCCGAAATACCCTTCCCATCAATGTCAGATCCGAAACTTACTTAATAAGTTGAGAAGTTCTAGGTATCATTCTCTCTGCAAGTCCGTCGTCCTCATCTCTCGGCTCGAGAACCTCGACGACAAGAGGTTTGGGGCTCCTAATACAGATTATTGTATGGATCCAGAAGGGAGCAACTTGGAAGCAACGACATAATATGATCAGCGGGATCAACGTGATTTTCTGCTGAGCAGTGATGTTCACAATATCAGATCAAGACTTTCACCTGGTGGTTGACTATTACAGAGTACTCCGCTGTTTGGCAGCTTGTTGACTAATCCCACATACTATTGCAACAGATATGAAAGTACTGTCCAAGATTCCTCTCCTATACAGGTAAGAAGTCCGTCTCTAGATTAATCAAGCCAGTCACTTTCACGTAAACTCTGCAATGCCTTTCATCAATTCCTTCGCGATACTTGAAAATCAGCAAAAGTAGAACTCACTATCGCGTATTACAATTCTTTCACACTGCTTTTCAAAAGTTTTTATGCTCGACGGTGTACAAACTAACACAACTTCAGTTTCACACACAACAATGATGTCAAGAAGCGGCCCAAACTGCAGTTCCTACCAAACCAAGCCGATACCGTCTTCCTAAATACTGAAGCGATCTCGAAGACTACTTCACCTACAAACCGCACGTAAAAACTAAACGATGTATTCCGCCTGCTGCTTAAACATTCTCGTAGTTAGAAAAGAGCCTATACTAGTGCTGCAATTAATCACTCCAAATATCAACACCCAAACACCAAGACTACACAGAACTCACTCGTGTTAGCAATCGAATGGGAGAAGTGAAACCAAGCAATGCCAAACTAGTAAGCATCCCAGCCGACACACCAGCTGGAAACCTTGATCGTTTCCTAATTTTCTCAACAGTAGCACATAAGAAACTGGATGCATCTATTGTGAACGTCAATGTCTCGTATGAGAATCAGCAACACCAATCACTTCTAACGCCACTGATTCCGTTAAAGTCATAAACTTACGCTGTCATCAAGAAGACTTTATCCCTTATAGCGGCAATGGCCTCGTTGCAGGAAGGCTTCCGTTCAAACTCGACAATGCCCTCACCGGTTGGGCGACCCTTCTCGTCGACAATATGCACTGCACGCTCCACATCGCCAAAGTGAGAGAATGCATGGTACAACATTTCATTTGATACGGTCGGTGAGAGCTCTTTTACTCTAAGAGCGGCGCCGTGAACAGCGAAACGCACACGGACTTGACGACCGTGAATGACACGACCGTCGATGACTTCCTTTGCGCTTTCGGCATGAGCACGGGTATCCTACGAAAGCTACTCTTAGGCACAAATATTTACAAAATATCAAATGGAGAAAGAAAGTCATGTGAAAAAAGTAAATTGCGCGCACAGTGCACCGGGCGAATGGTCCGCTTCCTTTTGCGATATCTACCTTTGGACGAATAATGGACATGATAGGCAAGGATAATGCAAATGTTGAGAATAACACAAAAAACGACGTATTTGAAAAAATGAGGCCCCAAAAATGATAAAATCGCAGTAGGTAGGACGAGATTGTGTCGACAAAAGTTGCATGGAATGGGTACTAAGACAAGTTGTCCTATGTATGCGCCATTGCGTACAGCCGGCATACAACAGTGCGTCCCAGTGCGAAAAGGAGCAGCCTATACAGCACTAGAACACCTTTAAATTTGACTGCTTTCGTTGTTCACGTCCACTAAGCCGGTTTGCGGCCTTTATTACGCTTCAATTAGGCTGGCCCTGCAGCATCAATTACCTACTCTTGGGGATCACAAGTTAAACTTAAGGAGGAAGCTCAGAAATCGTCTTTATAGTAATGTGCCTGTCAAATACACGGCGAACATCCATAGTTACAATCCTCGAAGAGATTCCAAACAACGAAGAAAGTCCAACAAATTGCATACTGTGACCAATGAGCAGCAAAAGGCAGAACTAGTCCGAGATCTTTGGTGTCGAAGATTTNAAAAAAAAAAAAAAAAATCGCAGCTTGAAGCTGTTTATGCTTCATTAAAGAGTTTCGAATAAATAGCTTGCTCAGTTGCCAAATAAAACAATTAGAGCACCTAATACTTTATGTTCAACGCTAGAGGGATGCCCGGGCACTGTGCGCAACAACTGAATAACTGAAGTAACATTAAACGCTCTCGGCGCGCATTCACCATTCTTAGGAAAGCGAAACCTTTTCCGCTGAGGTAGCACTCCGAAATGTCGCCATGCGGTGAGAACAGTTCTTTGAGCTCAGCTTCCTTCACCTCATTGGGAAGGTTACCAACAAAAAGTCGGCAACGCCCAGTGAACTTCTTCTTAGGTAAATCGCCCATCAGTTCGGACTCGGAAAAGGCCATACCCGTGAAGCTTCCAGCCCCACGGTATCCACCGCCCATGCCTGACATGGGACCACGCTGATTACCGCCGCCCATGCCAGACATGCCGCGATGCATGTCCGAGCTTCCGCCATTGCTTGAACGATGGTGATCACGGCGCATGCGACTGCTGAAATCAACCTATCCTAATCATTTACACAAAACTATTATAGAAAGATCAGAAAAATGAAGATCGACACACAACAAATTCCTGAAAAAATCAGGCGTAAAGAAGTGGTTTTCGCTCACAACGATAGTGGAACAGTATATCCACCTAACAGTTCTGGTTATTGATTTCTACTTGAAGAAGAATGACGCAAAAACACTAGTTGGTAACTGTCACCAAACTGTTTGTGAACGATTTAAAGGCACAGTTCACTATAATTTGAGGTACCCTTCTAGGTTGAAAGTGTTGATGAAGAGGAGTACGTCGTTGGCAAAGAAAGCGAGAAAATCCGCCTACTTTAAGCCTTTTAAAAGCAGTTGAAGTGGAGGTTGTACGAGATCACCGCGACAGAAATGCATTTAAAGCTTGTTTGGATGAAATTTATCTTGCTCCCATCGTGCAAAGAGCTGTACAGAATTGCCTTGCACTGCCGCTATGGGTCATGAGAAGTTGTTTGAACTTCCTACATAGGTTCCCTTGTGAATGGTGCAGCCCCTACGAAGCCGTTGAAACTCGTCCACCAGGGGTGTGGCATTCACACGATACAACCTCTGGTTCCTTACTAAGCCATATCCAGGAAGTTTTCCGCCCTCATAACGACAAGTATGTATAAGGGGGAGCTTCGAATTCATACTATAGGGGAATCTCAAAACCGTTTTTATCGTGAATTGTGCCTTTAATATGCCTTAACAAATTCATCGGATATGGAAACGTAATCAGGAATGAGAACGAACGCAAAAACGGCTACCAGATTTACATGTCCACATGCGATTCCTTCGCTGCAATCTTTCCTTTTCTAATGACTTAAAATTCGTTCAACACTCTATCAACGACTGTTCCTACAGTCGGTTTTGCTATACTCGCTAACTTTTAGCATCGAGGTAAAACTCAGCGAAATTCTCAACACTAAAACAGATAAGGATTTCAAGCTCGAAGAAGTACTGATTGCACTCTGGAGCAATCGATGCCTCCAATCTTCCTACACGTATGCGAGAATACAGCAATCACAAAATAACTATAGCGAAGAAGTTTGAACTGTAGATCACCAACAAGTTTTGCATCAAGTGGATCAAGAATTTTAACAACATACTGATCCCTGGTTCAAGTTCATTAATCAATATATGCGCTTATGGGAGATCCACGGAAAGATCTCCACATCATATCTACTCTGCGTCTTCAGTTGCCGATCCACAAGTGGCTTAGGATTTTGAATCGCCTCGCTGCGCTGTTCTCCTTTACGTGTAAACTGGCCTTGTCATCAAGTCCTCTTCAAATTCGGGCGCACTGGCACAGTAGAAGAGGAAATATATTTCCGCCCAAACACACTCCCCGATGCTGTTCGAGAGCGCCTCGCTCGTCATGAGCAGCAGCATTCTGTTTAGCTCATGTGTGTTTGAGTAACTCTGTTCATTTCCACATTTTTTCAACTTGACGCGAATTCACTCAGATCTTGCTTATTCTAAGCTCGTTCCACCCCTCACCTCGATTTCCGCCCAAACACGCACACCCTGAGCTAAAAGACTCACTCGATAGGATTCACTTCTGCCACTTCCTACTACCTGCCATCAGTGTCTCAATCAAGCCGCCTGCACCCCTACCAAATTCTGACGCTCTAGAGCCACGGTAACAGGAGTTATGAACCGCGGTCAGACATTCTTTTCGTGCATACTCCCCCCCCCCC